CTAAACCTTCCTTCTTACCACCAAGTGTTACTGTAATTGAAACATCTCTTGCATTTGTTCCCTCCTCTCCCAATGCCAGTTGCCTGTTTCATTTCCTCATTATTTCTCACCTAGCAACACCTTAGTCTCCAAATTTGCCTCTGCCCTGAGTTCCATATACTCACACTCCTTCTTTGCACAGTCAGCATAATGATTTTTCTAAAACATTAATCATGCACTGCATGTTTAAAACCTTCCAGTGGCTCTCTAAAGGTCCCAACCCTTAGCATGGCACAGGGTGCTTTTTTTTTTAAAGTTTTGTTATATAGGGCAAGTGCATGAGACAGAAAGGGAAAGTGAGAAATCAACACCCCCCCTCCCCCGGGTAGGGAGGGTGGCCACACCACAATCCCTCCCCTCCATTCTCCTCTCAGGATGTTGGGCACTCATGCACACACACACAGCACATTTCTCAAGCCACCAAGTCCGGGACTCAAACCACAAAGTTGCTCATGTGGGATCTAGGGCTTTAATCACCACACCACTGGCTGCCCTGAGTGCTCTTTTCTATATAGGTTTCTGTCCTACCACATCTTTAGCTGCAGCCTCTGATATTTCCCATGGGTACTGTCTGTGGCCACACCCAAACTCACTTCAAACTCATGAAAAGATTTGGATTTTTTTTTTTTTTTTGAGATCTCTTGCTTTCCAATCTCATAATATTTGCTATCAGAAACTCAAGAACCTAACAGACTTGAGTATCAAGGGACAGTGTGCTGTCTAATATCTCTGTCCCATTGTATACTGTACCTCGGTCTGAATGCCCTTCTGCCTCCCACTCCCACATGACAGGCTTGTGAATAAGGTGCTATTTCAAGACTCAGCCCATGTCTCAGCCCTTCAGAGCTGACCCTCGAAAAATACCCATTCTGTATTTGGTGTTCTTCATGAATCTAATACAAGCCATAACTGTAGTTCCTGCCCCTTTGTAATGTAGTTATTTGTCTCTTTACCATTATCATTACTATTTATCTCCACACCTTAGCACTGTGCTGAATCAGTATTTGTTGAATGAAACAATAAGTGACTTTTCTGAGCCTCACTAACTATATTCAGAATTTTAAAATTTACGATAAATGTAAAAGAAGTATAATAAAGAACCATAATAAAGACAAATTCTTTCTTTACATCTGGAGATGTTTTGGTTCAAAATTAATTCAACTACATTTTCTTATATCATTTAACAACAACAAAAAAAAGAACCATATAGCACTACATGTTATACATTGGAAATACATTGATAAATAAAATAAACATGGTCTCTGCTTTCAGGAGTTTACAGTTAAAGAGTAGAAGTAAATACACATTGTGAGTACTACTCTGAAATAACAGAGCAGGGGGAATGAGTGCACACAACTATGCTGGACAGCTGGTAAAGGCCTTCCTCAGGAGATGGCAGTTCAGACTGACCAATGAAAAGCCAGCCATGCAAACAAAGGACGACCTGGAAACTGCTCCAGAGAAAGAACAGCCTGAATGACGCATGTCTGAGGTACTGCGAACAGACCAGTGTGGCTAGAGCACAGCGAGCAAGGGGAATGCTGTACAGGATGAGGTTGAGAAAACTGGAAAAGGCCAATTATAAGGGTGCCTCTAAGACCATGATAGAATTTCAGGCTTTATTTAATGCTCAGTGTTTAGTGAAAAGCCATTACACAGGTTTAAAATGGGTGCCATGATCAGATTTCTCTTTCAAAAAGATGACTGCTATTAGAGAAAGACTAAAGGGGAATGCAAAAAGTTGGGAGTAGAGGGCTTCAGGGAAGAACTTGCAATTCCTCTTAGATATTATCATGGCCTGAATGACAGTCATGGTGGGGTAGATAGATAGAAGATGAAAGGGATTGAAGAGTAAAAGTTAGGATGGATGGTAGTACCATTTACACAGAAAAGAGTAGGTAAAGACTAAGTTGGCAAGTTGAGAATATCATAACTGGTTTGGGACATATGTAACAATGTATACATGTGAAAAGTATAAAGCACTAAGATATCTGTGGCTTGAGCCATAGTTAATTTTGGGTTTACAAAATGGACTTAGGAGTTACCATCATGCAGAGGATGTGTAGGGAGAGCCGTAAGACTCTAAAGGACATCCATCACCTAGGAAGAGAATGTAGAGGAAAAGCAGGTCCAAACTGAGCCCTCATTCATAAGTCATCACAAAGACTAAACTGGCAAGGCAAACCAAAAAGTATCAGCCAGAGAGGAGGACCAAAATCAGGTGAATGCAATGGCATAGAGGCCTACAGAGTAGCGGATTTCCAGGAAAGAGAGTTTTACAACTGAGCTGGATAATAGAAAGAGGTCCAGTAAACTAAGCAGAGAAATTCTGGTCACTTCATCTGAGCAGTCTGTTGACAACCTTGACATGAGTCATGGGGCAAAAGTGAGCAAGGATCCAGATGAGATGGAGAATTGGAAGAGAAAGCACTGTGGCATGGCTAGCCCTGTTTCTGTCATCCACATGCCACCTGACACTTTAAAAAAAAATTGAAAGTGGGAAAGAAAGACATGGATAATTCTATCAGGTTATACTTAAGTACAAATATAATCTGCCAGTTCCTTAAAACAGTCAAGAGCTATAGACAGTGTTATCCTAACAGGAAAAAAAAAAAAAAAAACATGCAGATTTTAAAATTTGACTTCTCCATATATAAACTGGCAAGGCAAACCAAAAAGTATCAGCCAGAGAGGAGGACCAAAATCAGGTGAATGCAATGGCATAGAGGCCTACAGAGTAGCGGATTTCCAGGAAAGAGAGTTTTACAACTGAGCTGGATAATAGAAAGAGGTCCAGTAAACTAAGCAGAGAAATTCTGGTCACTTCATCTGAGCAGTCTGTTGACAACCTTGACATGAGTCATGGGGCAAAAGTGAGCAAGGATCCAGATGAGATGGAGAATTGGAAGAGAAAGCACTGTGGCATGGCTAGCCCTGTTTCTGTCATCCACATGCCACCTGACACTTTAAAAAAAAATTGAAAGTGGGAAAGAAAGACATGGATAATTCTATCAGGTTATACTTAAGTACAAATATAATCTGCCAGTTCCTTAAAACAGTCAAGAGCTATAGACAGTGTTATCCTAACAGGAAAAAAAAAAAAAAAA